TGTATAATCGACCAAATGCCAGAAATCATGATACACAACAGGATGTAAACAGTGAAGATAAAGCGCGTAAGTTTCTCTAGGAATTCATCCCCGACGTAGTTAAAGAAAATCCATATTCATACACGGGATCGACGGCTGTGCGCTATAGTAAGAAAGACTGCGAACTCCTTCAGATGGCCATTTCGATTAACTGTGCAATTCTTCTGCCTGGCACACGCTATATACAGCTAAAACTGGCAAAAAGAATCAGTTCTGTTAGTTTGATCGCCACAGGCGCAATCTCTTTGCCTGACAGTTTCCAGTCCCAATGAGATTCAAACTACAGGCAAACCTTAGGCCTCGAGGCAACAGAACAACAGTGAATCAGTTGCCATGGCAACAGGCTTTGATTAAGGTAACTCAATATTAATTGAAATGCAGAGTAATTATTAAATAACCGATTATCCACGAAACGTGAGTATTTTTTTTTTCGTGCAATTCATTAAGAAGACTAAAGCAAATAAGTTCCAGGGCACGTAGGCTCCGTATGGTTCCTCGTCTATCGTCTAACAAATTTTCACAAAATCTGATGATTTGAGATTTTTGACAAAACTGTATATAATCCACGCGGTAGCGTACTTGGTTGAGGCGCTATACTGGAAGCCGGAAGGTCGCGGGTTCAAGTCCCGATGAGGTCATTGGATTTTTTTCAATTGACCTAATCCTTCCAGCCGCACTATGGCCCTGGGGTAGACTCAGGCTCTAACAGAAATGAGTACCAGGAATATTCTTGGGGGTAAAGGAAAGCCGGCGCGTAAGGCTGACAAACTTACCGCCATCTATGAGCCGACTGTCTAGATAATGTGGGGCCCTCAACGTCTCACAACCTTATGAGCCTCCACGGCATGTTACTTTACTTTACTGTACATGGTGCAGCGGAATTTAAGAATATATCTCAGTGTATTTGAGGTTTTGATACAATTACTGATTTATCTTTCTATATATCTTTCACTAAGCAATAAAGATATATAGGATGCAAGGTATAAGAGACGCAACTCTCTAAAGCTTTGCTGCGATTCGCCAGCTGAGGCAAGGATCATATTGAATTATCGCAAGTGTGATACAAAAACTGGCAAATCAGCACATGCACGCTAGCGAAGTTAGCTCAGCTAGCCCTTGGCTTAGCGCTCACGGCTTTGTGTTGTCAAAAACTATACGTATTTAACGCGATGAAAATGTTGAGAAACAATGCAACAAGACAAAATTATGACAACTCATTTAAATAAATAGTAGGGATATCAAATCTAAAAATCTTGTATTAAACTCTGTGATGTTTTATCATCCCATAAAGATATATATATGTGTGTGTGTGTGTGTGTGTGTGTGTACTTCAACGCTCTTTCAACGCTTTGCCGTGACATCTTGTTATATGCTTTAATTACTAAAATTTCTAACTCTCTAAAAGTGCATAAATTCTCCCATTTTCGGAATATGATGCTTGATTTGTCTGTTTAAATTAATTTAGATTAAAGAACAAAGCACAGGTTAATGCGATTATGAAATAAGTGAGGATACAACAATGTTAGCAACTTAATAAGACGGATTTATTGATAATTATTTTCTCCTTGATCTCAGAATATTTCATATACTGTTATGAATTATAGAATTATCATGTACTCACTGCAGGCTTGGAAGTTTTGTTTTACTGAAAATATCACCACAGTTTATTGAATTCATACTACACTGAGTTGAAGGAAATATTTTAAGTTGTCTTCCTTTGTTGAATTTTTAAATAAAATTATTAACAATATGTTTTCAATTACTGCAGGCTGAGGTTATCTGATATATACTAGGATAAATTAACCACTTTAAAATAAGAACTGTGCCAAATTATGACGCTCTAACTATCTTGGCAGCCGGTCACGGTAGCCGAGCGGTCTAAGGCATGTACTGTCTTCGCTCGCTTGGAAACCGGGATCGTGGGTTCGAATCCCACTCAGGGCATGCATGTTTAGTTTGTGTGTGTGCGTTTTTCTGTGTTTGTGTACAGGTAGAGGCCTTGCGACGAGCTGATCACCCGCCCAAGGAGTCCTACCGAATGTGTAAGATCTATAAAAATTGAAGTGAACGGAGAATTTCGTGGAGGTAGGCCTAGGCCCACTGGGACTGGAGTGCCAAGGAAAAAAAACTATCTGGGCTCTTCAGCGTACTTAGTAAAAGCAGTTCGAACTTAAATGAGAATGAGAAATTTATAAGAGTGCTGTTATATTTGTAAATATTTCCTCCAGCAGCAGAATAGTCTGACAAAATATACATAAACTGTCATACCAAGAAGGGAAACCTGTTACGTGCTACTCCTTTGAATGAGGAAAGATACAGAAATAAATCCTTAATGCACTCTGTCTCCTGTTGTTTCAAACAAGGATTTGTTCTCGTTAACCTCGCCTATAAGTCCTGTTAACAAGATGTATATTTTATGACATTTATTCACATAAATGGTGTAGACGACATATGTGAACCCTACAATAAATAAACATTTTATTACTTCGAATAGAAGACGTAAATTTTACACAATTTTCCGTCGAAAAATTGAAGTTTTTTTTTAAATTCGAGGAAGGTACATCATTCTAATTCTTTTTCCTAAAACCCACATTCAAAAACTGGATGTATAAATTTCGACGGCGTCTTATATTCTAAGTAATACGGCATATATAACAGAGAGATATTTCTAATAGCCGATTTCATATATTACACACATAGGCAGGCAACAAAATTATATTACGTATTTCAATCTGTAAATTTTCAGAGGTTTCGCGCTTGGAGCAGAGATGGATATAATTGCTTCTGGAAAATCTCGTAATGTAGCGCTTACAGTTTTTATCGTTTTGCTTTGTACACTGTTATGCGTGATAACTACCTGATAATGGCTGTGTGACCGAAACATTTAGTGTTGACACAACGGAATTAAAAAGATGGCACAGTTCTCAGTCGCATCCCGACAAGGTCATTCTATTTAAGGCATGAGCATTTTCAGCTTCAGAGTAAATAAATTGAGGTTTAGTTACTATAGGATTCTGACGATGGTGTATAACACACAGAGATATTGGGTTTTCGGACTTTACCCATCGTCCTGGTTTTTAAGATAACTAAGTAAAAACACGACGTTTCGGAAACTGGATCTGTTTCCGTCCTCAGGTGAGGTAAAACACCTATTCTGTTGGGTCGTCCAGTGATTGAGGCTAGCTCTTTCTAAGGGACCCAACAGAATAGGTGTTTTACCTCACCTGAGGACGGAAACAGATCCAGTTTCCGAAACGTCGTGTTTTTACTTAGTTATCTTAAAAACCAGGACGATGGGTAAAGTCCGAAAACCCAATATCTCTGTGTGTTATACACCATCGTCAGAATCCTATAGTAACTAAACCTCAATTTATTTACTCTGAAGCTGAAAATGCTCATGCCTTAAATAGAATGACCTTGTCGGGATGCGACTGAGAACTGTGCCATCTTTTTAATTCCGTTGTGTCAACACTAAATGTTTCGGTCACACAGCCATTATCAGGTAGTTATCACGCATAACAGTGTACAAAGCAAAACGATAAAAACTGTAAGCGCTACATTACGAGATTTTCCAGAAGCAATTATATCCATCTCTGCTCCAAGCGCGAAACCTCTGAAAATTTACAGATTGAAATACGTAATATAATTTTGTTGCCTGCCTATGTGTGTAATATATGAAATCGGCTATTAGAAATATCTCTCTATTATATATGCCGTATTACTTAGAATATAAGACGCCGTCGAAATTTATACATCCAGTTTTTGAATGTGGGTTTTAGGAAAAAGAATTAGAATGATGTACCTTCCTCGAATTTAAAAAAAAACTTCAATTTTTCGACGGAAAATTGTGTAAAATTTACGTCTTCTATTCGAAGTAATAAAATGTTTATTTATTGTAGGGTTCACATATGTCGTCTACACCATTTATGTGAATAAATGTCATAAAATATACATCTTGTTAACAGGACTTATAGGCGAGGTTAACGAGAACAAATCCTTGTTTGAAACAACAGGAGACAGAGTGCATTAAGGATTTATTTCTGTATCTTTCCTCATTCAAAGGAGTAGCACGTAACAGGTTTCCCTTCTTGGTATGACAGTTTATGTATATTTTGTCAGACTATTCTGCTGCTGGAGGAAATATTTACAAATATAACAGCACTCTTATAAATTTCTCATTCTCATTTAAGTTCTAACTGCTTTTACTAAGTACGCTGAAGAGCCCAGATAGTTTTTTTTCCTTGGCACTCCAGTCCCAGTGGGCCTAGGCCTACCTCCACGAAATTCTCCGTTCACTTCAATTTGTATAGATCTTACACATTCGGTAGGACTCCTTGGGCGGGTGATCAGCTCGTCGCAAGGCCTCTACCTGTACACAAACACAGAAAAACGCACACACACAAACTAAACATGCATGCCCTGAGTGGGATTCGAACCCACGATCCCGGTTTCCAAGCGAGCGAANCGTTGAAAAGAAAAGGCCCCAGAACAGAGCCTCGCGGCACCCCGGACATTACATGAAAAGGCAGGGAGAGAGTGCCAGAAACGCGAACCCGAGACTGTCTGTTGGCTAAGTAACTGCGAAACCAGCTAACATAAGCATCAGAGAATCCGAAGGAGCTTAATTTATGCAAGAGAATATATTAATAGACATAAAAAATTCTTATCTTTTGGATTAGTGACTGTCGTGTCAAATACATCTTTGTATTTTGAAGCCTGAATGTCACACAAAAAATGTTTAAAAAAATTCAATTCCTACATCACAGAAAACACTGATTTTTTTATTACAAAATTCAACTTATCAGCCTTTCGTACAGAAATAATGGCAGTCACTTCTAAGAAATATGCCTATACTGCCTAACATAATAGCTTTTTCATTTGCAATTAACCACACAAATATCCTAAGAGTGAAGTGGGGTGACGAGAAGGGTCAAGGTGAGTTCTGTATCCTTGCAAGTTACCTGCAGCCACTACCTGAAAGATGCACGGCGACCGCTGGTGGCCGACCGCGTTGAAACCCCAGCAGGCCAGTGTGCCATAATCCATATCTGTGACAGGGGTGTAGTTGAGGCGTGACACTGAGCCGACACTCGTGAAGCGAGACGGGGGCACTTCTGCCAGATCGCCAGAGTTATTAAATGTCCAGTGGAACGTCACAAGAGGTGGGTTTGCATCCACCTCACACCTCAATGCCACCGTCTCGTGTTTCAAAGCACCCAGTAACTCCTCTCGGTCGTCTTTACACGTTGGCACAACTGCAAGGAGAATATTTGTAATTATGACACTCCGTAGGAGAACTCAAACAAGTAAAATGCACAGTTTACATTACTGAAACGACACAGAAAGGAACATTCCGCATGCCAAGAGTTCTGTCCTCAATATAATGAATTCTAGGCTCAACAAAAATCGATCAATGCGCTCAGAAGTCTTTAGTGTGGAAAGACGCATGAAGAGACACACACACATATATTCATAATAATGGAATAAGTTGGGTGGGGGACAACATGGAGAAAGTATCAGGTAAGAACACTGATACTGGTAAGCTATGCTGAGTAACTTTCTGAATTATCTGCTTTAATCTGTCAACCTGAATTCCAGAATGATACTTTTATAAAGTCCATGGTCACTCCGTTTGTGTATTGTCAGTTCTTCATTCACACTGACGCTATCATGTAGGCTTAAAAATTATCCAAATGCTGAAATATTTATGGGAATACAAATTAATTTGTGATAATAATAATAATAATTGTTAGTATCTGGGGGCAGGCGGTAGCGTGAGGCACTATTCTACAAGCTGGAAGGTAGGGGGATCGAATCCCGATGAGGTCATTGGATTTTTCAATCAGCTAATTATTCTTCCAGCCGCACTATGGCCCTGGGATCGACTCAGCCTCTAACACAAATGAGTACCATGAGTATTCCTTGGGGTAAAGAGCGGCGGACGCGTAAGGCTGACAGCCTCACCACCATCTGTGAGCCGACTGCCTAGAAAATGTGGGAATCTCGACGTCTCACAATCCTATAAGGCTCCACGGCCTGTTACAGGGATAGCTCTACCTTAACTTTTCAACTTCTGGTATATACTACTGTATTATGTTTCTTTGTACGAAGTCTACATTTCGAGCGAAATTAGAAAAGTAAGAGGGGACTTATTGCTACTGACGAAATAGAAACTAAATTAACTCCAGTAACATCAAAGTGGGCAATGAGTGCCAGAAGTTCGTACTGATGAGGCGTAATCTGTAAGTGTCCTACTTACGAATCAATTATCTATTAAGTTATTATAATTAATGTAACTGGAAGTAAAATTAGTTATAAATAACATACAATTAATTTTACTGTATCGTGTACCAACATTTTAGACTTCTAACGAGCCTCGTGTTTTCCGGCATGCCACGCGCTCTATAGCTCCAGATCACTTGCTCTTTGCTTGACAGTCCAGAAAGAGAACAGCGGATTTTCCAGAAACCGATATGTACATTATACTTACATTATAATACATAATTTAAACATATAGTTATAATGAAAAGTTAAACAGTTCCGTCTAGTGTGACTGGTGAAGATTTTTCTTACTTCAATTATTTATGCCCTTACATGTTTCGGTCTTCAGAGACCATCATCAGAGGGACAACTTTACATCAATACAGTTAGAAGCCAGTATTACAATACATCTTCTAAAAGTTAAAATGTATACATACATTCAGAACATATATTGTAATAGTAATTTCTACCTATATTGGTGTAAAGGTGTCCCTCTGATGATGGTCTCTGAAGACCCAAACATGTAAAGGCATAAATAATTGAAATAAGAAAAATCTTCACCAGTCACAGGGGACGGAACTGTTTCACTTTCCATGATATGTGTGACGGACCAGAATAAAACAAAAAAATGTAGTTATAAATTTGTTTATTATAATGATTTATATTTTATTGCAATCGTAGAGACGCCATGGCACCCACATTAAACAGTAAAAAAAATTGTATGGGCTCGTGCTAAATGATTTAAGGTCTCAGACATTGTGGACTGAACTTTCAGACAAGGTGATACCTCATTTCTGATGAATCCAGCTACCTAATCCAAAAGTCCGTCAACCTTTAAATGCCTTAAAGGAGACAGACGTAAAACAGTACCGAAGTAATACGTAAGGCTAGACCAATAATTTCTTCGCTAAAAATGAAAGACAGAAGTCTCCATATATTAAATATTTTTTAAACTTTGGTAAAATTAATATAATATATTTTAAATCGAATTTAAGATGAGAGTAGTTACGTCCGCCAAGCACCAGACTGATAAACACTGATACAGACACTGCATCCCCGTTAGAACCACCACAAGATCACCGTCTATCCAACGTCTGAGATGAACAAAGACACGACTTATCTGTGTCATGTTACCGAAAGTTCGACAAAATGGATACCAGCGACCTGTAATGAAGCCTCTGTTGTTTATTTTCTACACATGACGTGTAATGGCGGAGTTGTCAGTGTCGATGCGACGCCAGGCGGTCGCGCCAGATTGTCTGCCAACTTTCCAGTTGCAGCTGCGAGCGAGCGTCTTGCCAGACCTGCTACTTCACCCTCCAAAACTTTGACTTAGTGTCTGTGAAACACATGACCACCCCACTAACTCTGGAAGTCTTGGCTCCAATTCAACAACATCTCAACCTCTGTAAATACTAATTAGATTTAATACAACAGCGCAGTTACCGTAAAATACGTGCATTACTCGATGCTTGAAGATATATGTGTATCAGGAATTATACAATTACCAACGCTGAGAATTAACAATATGATTACCTTCCTTTTACTGCCAGAAAATGCTACAAGACCCAATCAAGTAATTAACATAACCAACGCACATTTCCGCTTCAATACAGCAGATTTTGGGTCTCTTTCGTTTAAAAGTTCATTACAAAATAATCGCTTACGCATTTGCAGGCGTTTAACGGGGAGAAATTGCAATGCCCCTCCTTAAACGAGAGAAAGCAACAAATTACAAGAAGTTATGAGAAGAACTAATCGCACACTTTTTTTATGAGACATGGGCCACTCAGAAAACGACGCTTCCAGCAATTCTTCGTTGCAGTGGGAACATCTTTACTGAGTTGTTTCTTAGTAACGGTAGGGGATACATAGACCCACAGACACACACGTCCAACTATTCTTATGTTCTTGCGTGTATTCTTTGCAAGGGAAAGTGTTTACCAAGCCGTTGCCTAGCAATGAAAGGATACAGTTTACAGAGCCATGGATAACAACAATAGTAGGTATACACATACAGGCACATACACTGATAAAAGGGGTTTATGAAGTACTCCGTTGAGGTGGGCTCAGGTGCCATGATACATATACCAAGTGTCATAAATATTGGTTAAGGCATTCAAGAGTTAACAGGGTGGATTCACAGACACACAAACAACATGGAGACAGCATAAGCCTACTTTAGTGAAATAGACTAAGATAAATTATACATCGATGTGAATGCATACATATGTATGACTGTATTAATAAAAGACCATATCACTTAATTTTTTTTTTCAAAATCTCTTCCAGCTCACTTAGGGCCCAGGTCTCTTATTCAGTTCCGTAATAATTTTTCACAGGCGGTAGGACTCCTTGGACGAGTGATCAGTCCGTCACAAGGCCGCTACCTAAACACACGACAACACAACACAGAATAAACCCATACACACCAAACATGCTCTGAGTGGGAATCGAACCCACGATCCCAGTGTCCGAGCGAAGGGAAGACAGTTCATGCCTTAGACAGCGCGGCCACTGGGATCGGCATGTGACTTAATATACACATTAATTACTAAGCAAGAGCGGTACGTTTGAATCAGTCTGTTTAGATTTTGTGTAGATTTATTATTCTTTGAGAGATGGCGTTTGTGGTTCCTGGTGTTATAGACCTATACGTCGCATCCAAATTACTGTAAGCCTTATTAACGTATATCTCATTAAAAATTGATTCATTCATTCCCTAATGGCTCTACAGCCCTTTGTTGGACCCTGCCCTCTTCTTCAGTTTCGTTATCTCTTTTTACACAGACGGTAGGATTCCTTGGACGAGTCGCAAGGTCGCTAACTACACACAGGCCACCACAAACACAGAATAAAGGCACACAGACAGCCATGCCTTAAATGGGATTCGAACCTACGATCCCAGTGTCCGAGCGAAGGGAAGACAGTTCATGCCTTAGACAGCGCGGCCACTGGGATCGGCATGTGACTTAATATACACATTAATTACTAAGCAAGAGCGGTACGTTTGAATCAGTCTGTTTAGATTTTGTGTAGATTTATTATTCTTTGAGAGATGGCGTTTGTGGTTCCTGGTGTTATAGACCTATACGTCGCATCCAAATTACTGTAAGCCTTATTAACGTATATCTCATTAAAAATTGATTCATTCATTCCCTAATGGCTCTACAGCCCTTTGTTGGACCCTGCCCTCTTCTTCAGTTTCGTTATCTCTTTTTACACAGACGGTAGGATTCCTTGGACGAGTCGCAAGGTCGCTAACTACACACAGGCCACCACAAACACAGAATAAACGCACACAGACAGCCATGCCTTAAATGGGATTGGAACCCATGATCCCAGTGTCCGAGCGAAGGGAAGACAGTTCATGCCTTAGACCGCACGGCCACTGTGTCGGCCATTAACAGTGGATATTACTTCAAATTGTTCAAGAAGTAACACATCCACTGCATATTGAAACCAAGGAAATTCTGATTTATTTACCAGTGTATATATAAATAAACGGTCCCCATAGGTACTAAATTCTCAATCCTTCTAAGGTAACGTCTCTAGGCTATACAAAATCGACTGAAACAACAAACATTAGTCAAGTATTCGTCTACGTGCATTTGAATCAAACGAGAACAGAAAATGTGAACAAATTGGGTTAAGATACCGCTAAGTTTTGTTACTGTTTGGGCAAGAATATCGATAGAGAATTCCAGCATAACATTTCATAATTACATACATACACACCTATGCATACTGTTTCAATAATCAGTCTTTTCTTTCGTGCTCGAGATTTTCAAATGTAGTCATCACAACTTCAGACCTCGGCTGATATTATAAGCTACCTACGAACCTGAATAACGAATGTGGGTAGTGACAAGTACACACAGGTTACTGACCTCAAAGGAAGAGACCCCTTGATAGATCTAAGGGACGCTGCAGGTGTGGGCCCTACTAAGTTGGCTCAGCATTTGGTCCAATGAAGAAGTTTTGTGAACTCGAA